TGCGGACGGGCGCTTTCGGCGAAGCCCACGGCACAAGCCTCCACGGCACACGCCTCCACTGGTGCTCCACCTGTTTTCTGGACCCTGGGTTCCTTGCCCGATGGCTCCTTGCGATCCAGTGCCCAGTGCCCACGCCGTGCTGGAAGCAGAGGGTCCTCGGGCCGTGGAGGGCGTGCCGCACCGCGTGCCGCGCCGTGGCCCTGCCGTGCTCTCGCGCTGCCTCGAGGTGCGCAGCGTGTGCCTCCCGCCCGCCGTGCTGCGCGCGTGCCACGCCGTGCGCGCGCGCCGTGCCCGTGCGCCGTGCCCACGCCCGGCCCCAGTCGTCGGGCGCGGAGCGTGCCGCCCGCGCGCCTCGCCGTGCCGTGCCCTGCCGCGGGCCGTCAGCGCGCCGGAGCCGGGAGCCGTGCCTCCTCCCCCTCGGGCCCCGTGCACCGCTGCTCCCCCGGCGCTCCTCGTGCTCCCAGGCGCCCCTTGGGCCCAGAGGAGGAGCTTCGCGCCCCTTGCCCCCCCCTATATATGTATATATATATATATATATATATATATATATTCACGTTGCTCCCATCGTACCTAAGGACCACATCCCAGAAGTAAGTTCGAGCACCCAGAACAGTGTCGAAGCAGTGTGGCCTCCCAGGGCCCGACACGTGAAAGCCCCCAAGTTTCGGTACTTTCTTGGTGCTCGAAATTCTTTTAGTCAAGGCTAAAGTAGGTCGGAACATCATAACCGTATGTACGATCTCATGCTTTTTGTGAGTGCTTAGCGGGCGCAGAACGGCATCACAAAAGCTACTCCGTCCTGGGGGCGCTTGACCCCCATGTGGCCGGACAGTTTATACCACCCCTACGTGCCACCTTCAGGGGATTAGCTTTCCAGTCGCCCTGGGACGGGCGCTCCCGACTGCGAACAAGTTTATGATATACATTTTTTCGCAAGCTGAAGTACGGTGCCCCCTCCGCAGAAGTCCCAACCTCTTCCCAGGGCCGTATGTTCTCGGCCTCCCAGATGGGGTGAGCAGAGGCTTGGGCGAAGGCCAGGGCTCGCCGGAGACATCCTTGAGCTGGCGAGCCGACTTCCCAGACAGGCATCGAGCTGAAACAATCAGGACGGAGGTTTCTCTTATCTTTCGGGCTCTGGGGGCCCTCACCGGGCCCCAGGGCAGCCCAGAAACAAGTCGGGATGAAACGCCGGCCTTGGTTGGGAATCCTGGGGGCCGCGCATGGAAAGCAGCAGGACATCGCAGGTCTGGGTCGAGCCCCTCCTGCAGCGCGTGCCGCGCCGTTCGCGGCCCTGGAGTCGGCCTTGCAGATGATTGGCCGAGCCCGGTGCGAGGAGCCCATCGAGCAACTTGCAGCGCAGCCTTGTCTGCACGGGCTGGGCCGGGTCTGCGCTGTGCCCGGCTTGTCCACGCCCGAGCGTCGAGGCTCGGCCACCCACACAACATGATCCGACGCTTCGTAGCGCCATGACGGCGGCTACACCCTCGACAGCTATGCTACGCTGTGGGTCCACGCTGACGCATGGCTCCAAAACCCGCCCTGGCAGTCTCCCCCACTGCCGACGCTATGGAGGGGCCCAGATCGGGAGGGCCCAGGACTGGGGCAGATCGCTCCGCTGAGCGCTCTGGGGCGCTCTCTTAGAGCGGCCGCGGCGCCCGACGCTTGCCTCGGCAGGGCCGCCGGGTCCCAGAGATCCCAGACCTGCCCTGGTCTGATGGTTTGCCTCGGTCCCGTCGACGATCCTCGGGACATGTGCTGGCTCTGGCGCGAGCTTCCCCAGCCCAGCTCCGCGCCGACAGCGTCTTGCAGCCCGTGCCCGCCCTCGTCGAAGCCGCCTCCGTCGTATGGAGGGGCCTCGGGGGACACGCACACGTTGGCGCCCACGCACGCCCTGAGGATCGCCGCTCCTGGCCCACGCGGGCGCGGAGGGCCTCGCCCGAGCGCGCGGCGGAGGCGCAGGGCGGGGCCAGAGCGACGGGGCGCCGGGCGAGCGGCGGCGGCCTCGTCGCGGCCAAGGGGCGCTGGCCGTGCGCCGACGAGGCCGCGGGAGCGGCGCCTGCCCCCGCAGGGAGGCGGGATCCTTCTCCTCCCTGTGGACGCTGCTGGCGCTGCTGGCCGCCGCCACCGTCGTCGCCCCTGCCACCCTCCTCCTCCCCCTCCTCCTCCTCCTCCCCTCCTCCTCCTCCTCCTCCTCCTCCCTCCTCCTCCTCCTGCCCCCGCTCCTCCCCCTCCCTCTCCCCCTCCTCTTCCCCTCCTCCTCTTCCTCCTCCTCCTCCTCCTCCTTGCCCTCCTCCCCCTCTTGCTCCCCCTTCCTGCGCGCCGCCGAGAGAGGTCGCCACGAAGATCACCGGCGCCACCCGCGCCGTGAGCCCGCGCTGTGGCCGGGGGGAGGAGCCGCTGAGCCCCAAGGTGCACGAGGCGGACCGCGTGCCCCTGAGGACCCCGGCGCCGCGCGCGGCGGGCTGCT